TCTCCTGCACTCTAAATCCCTCATTCCTGGCTGCATCTCATAGCTTGCCTCACCAACCCTGACCCCATCCTGCACCCCAGAGAGCCTCCTACACCGTGAACCCCTCAACCCCAGCCCTCACCCCTACACCCTCTGCCCCCTCCCTAAGCCCTCTCTTGCATCCCAAAGCCCTTATTCCCAGTTCCGTTGGGTCTCAGGCATCAACAATTTTCTAAATCCCTCATTCCTGGCTGCATCTCATAGCTTGCCTCACCAACCCTGACCCCATCCTGCACCCCAGAGAGCCTCCTACACCGTGAACCCCTCAACCCCAGCCCTCACCCCTACACCCTCTGCCCCCTCCCTAAGCCCTCTCTTGCATCCCAAAGCCCTTATTCCCAGTTCCGTTGGGTCTCAGGCATCAACAATTTTCTTCAAGTGCCTCACTAGAAAAAAAAAAGTTGGAAAACCACTGCACTGAGACAACGTGCTCAGAATCCACCCAACAGAGAAGTTGGATCAGTCTCAACGGAAGTGATCAGAATTTCTTTGCACACGCTTACCATGGCCCGTGGCCCACAGTCAGTGACAAGAGCAGCTGCTATACGCTACTCAACTGGCGAGTTTCCAAGCCACTCACTGTCTGTCCCCAATTCAACTCCACTTCCACATACAGTAAAGGACATTACCTTCCGCCGGATTCATTACTGCATCATGGAGTAATGTGGCCATGCTCCCAGCAATCCCTGCAAAACAGAAGAGTTCCCTTCGCAAGACCACTCTTGACATTCTGGAGGGAAGCGCAGACCGTTCTTAAGCTACAATTCTAGACAGGAAGTGCATAAAGTTACGCAACAGTCTCCGCTCCCACAGTATTCTCTGGGCCCTGGTCTACACTAGGACCTTACTTTGAAATATCCCCCCCTTCTCCTCCCGCATATTTGATTTAGTAAGCAGGGCGCCTGCACGACCAAGACTTATTCCAGAATAACAGAATTCAAACTCATCACCTAATAAACCATCTTGTTAGTCTTTAAAGTGCTACATAGTCCTGTGTTTTGTTTCAGCTAGACCAGACTAACACGGCTACATATCTATTAGAATTCAAACTCTGCACTCCTGCTTTTCATCAGGAAGAATGCTAATTCTGAACATGTAAATTCAAAATAACGGTAGTGTGGATGCTCAGGTGCTACTAATTCCAACTAACGGGGCTCCGGAAAGGCCTCCCGCAGCTCCCCAGAGTGCATCCTGGGTCTCTGAGTCTGAGGTAGCGCATCCACAATAACAGAGCCTGCCTCGGCCTCATTTCGATGAGGACATAAGGTCGAATGTTTTAAATCGCGAGTTCTTAAGTCTAATTTAGCAATTTCAAAATAATTTCCTAGTGTAGACGTGGCCTCAGTTAAACAGTCCTGAGCTCTTTGTGGGAGTATGGTCAAATCCATCCGCAGAATGGGGTGGGAGGGACAGGACATATGCTACAACTTCATGTGCTGGCCACTGGAGTTGGGTCAGCATGAAAAGTCACATAGTTCATCCTCCTTCCCCTGTGACAGAATGGATGCAGGTTTCATCTATGTTATGTTTAACTAAATCAGCAAAGGAAAATACCCAAGCTACACGGATAGAAGCAAGCTTAACACTGGCTTAAATAAGTTTTTAACTAGGAATTTGCAACAACTTACCTTAATGGATTTTTCAAGTGAATTTAATGTAACCTCTAGTGTATTTAGGGCCTTACATATTCTATAGTTATCACTAGGGGTGCGTCTACATTGCACCGTTATTTTGAGAACTAACATTATTTCAAAACAATGCCGGAGTCTACACAGCCATTCCGTTATTTCAAAATAATTTTTAAATAACAGACCGCTTATTCCAAAATCTGTAAACCTCATTCTACGAGGAATAACGCCTATTCCGAAACAGCTATTTCGAAATAAGGCGTGCGCAGAGGCTCCACTGCTGCCATTTTGAAATGGACCCTCCCCAGTGCCTCTCGGGTCTCTAAATTGAGACAGCACAGCTACATTAGGGAAGCCAAGTAATTTTGAAGCTTCCCTGCAGTGTAGAGTGCTATTTCGAAATAAATTCGTAGATGAGCATCATTTCAAGCATAGCTACATTTTCCAGAGACTCTCTTGGCAGGTTTCTCCATTGCCTGACCGTCCATTCTCCTTGTCCTCCATCTTTAACTTAAAATTTCCACTGCTACTACTGAAAGCTTGTACGCTTTTGGCAAAAACTAGGGAATAAGAGTGTATGATAGTAAGAGAGTAGTTAAACAATATGACCGACGTAGCTACGTCTGTTAAGGGAATGGGACAACACATTAGGATGTAAAATGCCGTTTAACGGGATGTTTAACTGGGTAATCAATTAAAGAAGAAGAGGGTGAGGGACCCGGGCCCACTGCAGACAAGGGCAGCCCCTACTGGTTAACTGGAATCAGTAAGCATCATTCCCTTAAGGGTGATGCTTACCGATTAACCTGTCACATCTCTACGACACACATCCCTAATCAACACATCTATGCCAATAAAACTCTCTAGTGTGGACACAGCTATATTTGAACAGTTTAAGATGGTCAAGGGAACATGCATAAACTGTTCTGGTCTAAACGCTATTATATTAATAATTGTCCAACTACAGAGTTTGGTTAATATAGATAAACTGGAAAACCCTGCACAGAGAAAGCCCTTATATTGAACAACTCAATGAAAGATCTAGTTCCCATCTGCTCCACTAGAGGTCATTTCAATAGAAGTGATAGAGAGATGCAATTGACCATCCTCAGTCACGGTGTTGAGTACTACCCAGAAAGCCAAGATGCCCTACGTCTGCACTAGGGATGTAAGGGACTACCATATATTAGCGAATATAACCCGTGGATTAGACACATTTTTACAAACCCCCGCAGGGTATACATGTCCGCATCTTATACAAGTTGATTTTTACTCCTTGGAGTCCCCCCGGGAGCATCAGTTCCCCTAAGCAGCTCTGCCTGCCCCCCCCCCCCCATCAAAAC